GGAGGGTCCGTTCAGACAAATACATGTGAGGGGTTTATGGAGTTCTTAGCCGTTAGATTTGGGATGAACAACAGTTGAGATGGCTTCAATAAAAAACGGGGTCGTTTGGTTTCGAAGGGTGGGCAACCGAATTTTAGAAAGGGTCTGGGCTGGACTGGGCATGGGTGGATTTTGGTATTTTTGGGCCATTTGAGGCAGGCCCAATTCAAATGAATACACAATTTCCTTCTTTTCCTTCTTTCTTTATTTTTCCTTCTTCTTTTCTTTTTTCTTTTATTTTAAATCCTAACCTAATTAATTAAAAACTTAGATTAGGTTCTAATCAAATCTAATTTGTGAAATAAACCTAATTAACTATTTCTAACATTTGAACAATTAATTTAGCTTAAAATAACGAAAGGAAATTGCTAATTTAAAATTAAAAGCTATAAATGTAAAAATGACTGATATTTTTTGTGATTTTTGTTTAATAATGTAATTAAATCCTAAATGCAATTAAGGCCTATAATGTTATGTAATGAAGAATTAAATATTTTTGGTATTTTCATGAATTTAAAATATTAAAAAGTGCACAAAAGTTCAACTACATGCAAACAATCACCAAAAATTCCAAAAAATTCTCTAAAAAATTAAAAATAATTAAGAATAAATCTGTTTATTTATTTTTATGGGAGTATTTTTGGTGAGACAAAAATTACATGCTAACAAGCCCAGCTCCAAAATCAGAATCACACACCGAGCAGGGTCGAGCTCGAGCCGTCCAAGGAAATTGTACACAGGGTCGAATCAGTTTCAAGGAAATTGAGTGAGAAAGAATCGGATACAAATCCTGCTACCATGAAGATGCTCGAAGAACTGACAAAGAGAATCGAGTCAGGGGAAAAGAAGATCGAGAAAAATGACAAGAAGGTTGAAACTTATAACTTCAGAGTCGATCAAATCCCGCGCCACCAATATTGAAGGGACTGGATTCCATAAAATTCGTACAAAAACCTTTCCTACCGAGTGCGGCTTCGAAGCCAATCCCCAAGAAGTTCCGCATGCCCGAGATTCCTAAATATAATGGGACAATCGATCCGAATGAGCACGTCACCTCTTACATGTGCGCTATCAAAGGGAATGACCTGGAGGATGACGAAATCAAATCTGTCTTGCTGAAGAAATTCGGAGAGACCCTCTCGAAGGGTGCTATGATATGGTACCATAATTTACCGCCTAATTCTATTGACTCGTTTGCTATGCTTGCAGATTCTTTTGCAAAGGCACACACCGGGGCCATCAAGATCGAAACTAGGAAGTCAGACCTTTTCAAGGTATGACAAAAGGACAACGAGATGCTCAGAGAGTTCGTGTCTCGATTCCAAATGGAACGGATGGACTTGCCACCGGTCGCCAGCAATTGGGCTGTTCAAGCTTTCACTCAAGGTCTCAATATTCGAAGTTCAGTGGTTTCACAAAAGTTGAAGCATAATTTGATAGAATAACCAGCTGCCACTTAGGCCGATGTGTACAATCGGTATCAGTCGAAGATCAGGGTCGAGGACGACCAACTTGGGGCCCCTTCCGGGTTCGTTTATCCTATCATACCCGTCGACATAGTTAAAAGGGATACTGATCGAGAACCAAGGTCGAACAGAGATCGATACCAACCATATAGTGGAGATCACATGAACAGCAGACGTGGGCGTAATCCTGTACGGAATGAAAGGAGAAGTGATCGAGGTCAGAGCTCTTGAGGGCTCATGAGCAAGATCGGCTTCGACAAGCCTATCGGACCCAATGAAGCACCTGGGTTATCAGAATATAACTTTAATGTCGATGCAGCCGCCATCGTATCAGCTATCCGACGCATCAAGGATACATATGGTTGTTACCTCTGCAAACCGATCCAGCTCGAAGAGATCCCAACCAAAGGTGCGAATATCATGGAACCCATGGCCACAGAACGGAAGATTGTCAGCAATTAAGAGAAGAAGTAGCCCGGTTATTTAACAACGGGCATCTTCGGGGGTTTCTGAGCGATCGAGCTAAGAATCACTTCAAAAACAGGGACTCCAACAAACAAAATTAACAAGGCTAACCCTAGCATATCATTAATCTCGCCCAAATCACACCTCAAATTGGGTTATGAAGCGGTCGATTGCAATAATAATTACCCAACTAGGAGCCGGGATCGAATCCAGAGGGAGCGTAGATGGGATTAGTGGTATATATTTGGACTAAGTGTGTAAAGTGTCTAAATTGTAATTCCACAAACTTTGTTTTAATTCTACTTCTAGATTATGCTACGGTTTGCAAATATAAAATATGAAACTAGAGAATAATGTTTGTGGTTGTTTTTCAAGTATGTAAAAGGTCTAGGGCTGTGACTTCCATCTAGATGTTTACCTAACGGGTTGTGGGATTTAGAGCGAGTTTCATTGGTCGGGGTGTATTATATCAATCAACACATAATTACCCACTCAATAACTCTCGGTAAGAGAGTGATTTTGCCCAATTTGGCTTTCTCAAGCCCAAGTGGGTATTGCACAAAATAGTTGATAAATGATCAAGTCGCGTCTTACTATCTCTAGGTTCAACTCTTTAATTAGGACTATCAATCTCTTGAGTTCATTCCAATTTCTTGTTAGCCTAGTTTTCCCAGACTAAGTCTCTCTTTCTCAAGTAGAGACTAAGTCAAATAGGCTTGAATCAATGTTTGCAACCATCAATTCTACAATTATAGCAAGAACTAGGCTAAATATTACACACCCAACCATAAACAAGCACTAAATCAAACACCCCTTAGATACCCACACCAGGGTTGGGTCACAACCCTAGCTAGAATTTAGCTACTC